ACAAAAGTCTAGGCACTTTTCCTCCCTCTTCTTCTTCAGTGGTGCCGGAAAATTTTCTCCATCAGCTCACCCTAAGCCTGATGAAAAGTTTTCTTTTATCAGCTTTAACTTATCCACCTTGAAGCATAGCGTGGATTTTATGCGAAGTGGATTAGTTACTTTTTTAACTCTACTGTAAATCCCCTTTACTAGCTGGTAGTCTTTGTCCCCTACAAGCAAAAGTTTTTTCCCTTAATTCTTTATTTTTAATTATTAAGATCATGTTTAGGTTTATTTTTTTGTATTGTTAGCTTTCGGCACAAACGTGAGGGGCTACAGCCACCTCTTGCCCCCCCTCTGCACGGTCCCTAGCTTAAGATTCAGCACGCCTATTCAGAGATATAATTTAATTGCTTGATCAGAGAATTATTAGCAGAGAATTATTAGCGTACGTTACGATGCAAAACGATTTTTCTTCAGACGATAATAAACACGTTTTACTGCACTCAACTCCAGGCTGTTCCTCAGTGCACAACTTAACTGTTGCTTTCTCGGGTTCTCTTAGTTTCCTCAATAAATGTTCCCAAGAGAGGATAAAGGTGACAGAGAAGGTATCCTCCATACACACCCTATTCCATTGGTAATTCGTCTCGAGTTATTTTTAGAATCGGGATAAAGTTACCTAGCGCGCTGCGTGGATGTTTCGTGGAGGTTTCGCATGACTAAACGCCGTGCAAAATATGTCGAGCGAAAGGCAATAAAAGCGTAAAGAGATCGAGAGCATTCCTGAATATTGACGCGAAATGAGTCGGCGCTCACCTGGGAAAAAGGAATCGCTAGACTCTTTGACAACCCGTGAAATCAGTTTAACTCGAAGTTGTCGTAACCTCAGTGCTTTAATAAAATGAGAAATTTCGCCGGTCTATTGAAACTGGTCGTTCGTACAATAAAGCAAGTAGGACGCCAAGTGTTATTTTTATTGAATAATAAAAGGCTAATAAAAGAATAAATATCAAACCAGAAATTGCTCTCTTCAAACTGTAAATTATAAATGATCCTGAGAGAATATTCAGTGTGTTAAGGATTTCCCTGCTGTACTGTTAGCTCTATACAAGATAGGAAGGGCGATTCTTTTTTAATTTCCGTTTCGCTGACACAGCTTTAGCAGAAATCTCTCTGTAGTCGTTTTCGTCGACAAAACGAATAGCAATATTGCTCTCCGCGTCTTCCGCCATTTTGTTCTGCTTCAATTCGTGAAGGACGCGTGGCTCTGAGCGTGGGTCATCCACGCGGAACACATTCGCGCTATGTGATTGGCTGTTGTCTCATCCCCCTTGGGATCTTTGGTCTTAAAAATAACTCGAGACGAATTACCTATGGAATAGGGTGTGTATGGGGGATGCCTTCTCTGTCCCCTTTATCCTCTCTTGATGTTCCTAATGGAAGGCCTGAGGCTCTCCATCACTATTCTTGCATTATGTAATGATCATGAGGTGTCCAACCTGATTTAGAAGTACCATTCTCAGGTTCACAACCATTACTAACATCAGGCATTGTACTACTGACAGTTAAAATGCAGTTAAAGAAAGACGATGATCAAGGACCGTACTTTCTTTAACTACATTAAACTCTACAGCGATGAAAGAATTAAAGATGATAACAATTCCTTATGAAAATAAATATTAAAAGATCCCCCACTGTTCGCTCACAATTGCGTTGGCTTTCCTAGAGTCGATTTAGAATTGCGCAAACCTATCTACGGTAACTATAATAACTTGTTTTTCAAACATGCTGTTAGAGACTCACTCCTAACTTAACAAAGCAATTCATCCTCAATAGCTCGCCGAATTTTAATGATGAATTTCAGATGCAGATAATATAGCATGTATGAAAACAAACGTATCAAGCTAAAACTGTCGACATTACGAATGGTTAGAGCGATTTTACTTAGTGCTTAATCAATTAAGCTATTAATTATGCAGTAACACAAGATCGTTCAGAAACTAACATACGGTAATCACGCTATGAAATTAGTCAAATGATTTGTATAGAACAGGAACGTTTAATTTAGCTGACTGTGCTCTAAAAAAACCAGAAAACAGTAAACTGCAAGCTGGATATTTAATGATGGAACAGACAATTAACTTTAGGTAGTACAAATAGGCCATAAAACCCTCGGAGCACCAGACTACCCTGAGACATTGCGTGCTTTCTGACAGTCCCTGCTTCCCTTTAAGCACCGATCGCAACGTCTTGCTATGGAACAAAGAAATTTATGCCTTTTAAAATGCAGTCTTGAAGTTATCATTTCAAAAGTTTCCGTCTGTTTTAGTTGTATTCGTTTGAGACGATTGTGCCCCGTGTTTCCCTTTGAGCGCCTTTAATTTGAAAAGTATTGACAGTTGATCAAAAGCGACTGTGGCCGTTCTGCGAAATCTTGGTTAGCTTGGAGTGCGTACAGCCCTTCAGTTCACAACCGTTTCTATCTAGACAACTGGCGTCCATAGAGTCATTTGGAACAATAGTTTCTACTTTTTTATACTGTGAAGGTTTTCGTAGTAGTCAGATGTTACTGCCGCCGCCCGCATCGCGCAGAATGGCTATTGTTCTCGGGACATTTACTTACAGTCGAGCTAGAATCATAAGTCTGTAATATTACAGGTGAAGCGTGAACTGGATCGCTTTCATTGGTTGAATTCTGTGCGATCTTTCTTTTGTAGCGATATTACCGCCTTGCAAAGAAACAAAGGCCATACGAGCTTTTTTTTCCAAATATCTCACCTTCAGCAGCGCGTGCTTATGAATCAATTGGAAAGCGCCAGTCTGCCGAGCGGGAGGTTGGGTTTCAAACCCCGGCCGGACTAACACTCAAAGGTCTTAAAATAACTGAGGAGAATGTGCTGCCTGGCTTTGTTGTGACATCTGCAAATATTTAGACATTCAGTCTTCTCAGATAAGGATGAAAAACCGTAGGCCCCACCCGAACGTACAGTTCTTGATTCTTTGGAACGTAAAATAACCCACACTGCTGCTCGGGGCGTAGATCCTGGTGGTGTGGCACAACTTTCATAGTCCGGATGGGAAATGAAGGGGTTGGTATTAATTGGGACGCAAATCCTGTTTCAACCCCTGTCACCGTGTTGAGTCACCGTGGCGAATTCAGTAAAGTAAAGTAAAGTAATTTCATTCTCGGATCTTTAACATGATTTAGAAACTATTCTCTGGTTCACAACTTATCAACATTAGGCATTTTACTCCTGACAACTCCTATGCAGTTGAAAGAAAGATGACTATCAAGGACCGAACTTTTTTTGACTACATTGAACTACTATACTACTATAGTATTAAAAGAATAGAAGATGATAACAATTCATTATCCAAAAAAATACTAAAAGACCCCCCACTGTTCCCTCACTATCGCGTTGCTTTTCCTAGATTCAGTTTAAAACTCCACAGACATATATACAGTAACCATAATAACTTGTTTTTCAAACAGACAGGATGCTGTTACAGGCTCACTCCTAACTTAACAAAGCAATTCAACCTCAATAGCTCGCCGAATTTATGATTCATTTCCGAGGCAGATACTGATAGCAGGTATGAAAACTAAAGGTGCTGGTGTCAAGCTAAACTATCAACATTAGGAATAGTTAGGGCGATTTTACTTAGTGCTTAGTCAATTAAGCTATAAATTATGCATTAACTTAACACAGGATCGTTCAGAAGTTAAGATAATCTAATCATGCTATCAAATCATCTTATCTAGCAAAAATTAGTCATGAACTGAGTTAGAACTGGGACGTTTTATTTAGTAGGTTGTGCGTAAGGGAAAAGCAGAAAATAGAAGACTTTTTCTCCTCAGGAGATGTTTTTTTTTCAATAAATTATTCTTATTTAAAGTCAAGCCAGGTCAGCGAGACAGTTATGAAATTTCTATCGGCTCAATTTCCCTGAATTTGATGTAAATGCATGTCTTCGAATAAATTTTAATCATTCAAAGTTTTCAATCCTACTAAATACAGAGAAGTTCTCGTAAAATATTCACTGCTCTACATGGGAAAATTAGATATTCCGTTGTAAAATCAAACGCGGTGGTTGGTCATGTACATGTAGCAGCTGCTCGGAGGACAAGTCACCAATGGTGCCTAACCCTGACCCCAAACAATACTAAAACAATTGAAAGAATGACATTTCATTGTTTCCCGCGACCAATTAGGAGAGATGCTTCTTATTTCAGCAACCGAGCGGCCCTCGTACTCACCATTCCGTTAGGAAAGCTTCAGACAAAAGGGCTGTGAGTTGCGGCGATGCAACTCTTTTTAGTCTGTTAAACTGACTTGGATATACCTTTGTAGCCCGTGGTTCTCCCACCACGTCAAAGTTTAAAGCTTTATTTTCAAGCAAAAGATTTCCACCCGGTTGGTGATTGTAAATGGTAACCACCCCTGGTATCAAGGTCTAATTATACTTCCTTGTTCTCTGCCTCTGTTCTTCCTGTACGGGGAGTGAGTCTAACTGTAGTCTCGCGTGGCTAGCGCGGCAGTGTTTGGTTGGAGTGCGGGAGCCAGCGGCAAGAGGAGACAGCTACGGAAACGACGAGAAGCGCCGTTGTCGCCAATCACTCGCGTCCCCCCTCGTAACATGCTAGTAGGGACCTTAAGCAACTACGACAACGACAGCTCCAAAAAACAATAGGTTTAATGATCAAAACAACAGCTTTGTACGCTTTTCGGTACATTTCTTTGACGTCCACTGGACGACTACGACGTGAAACCTCCTAATTTGACGTTTTACGGAGGATGTGGACATACTACAGAGTGAGATACTAAGAGTGACTCGACTCGTGTCTTCTCCGTTTGTTTTTTCATACCAATGAATGATTCGTCTCCTACAATCGTGTCATGATTATATTTTATATTGACTCTTCATGTTGAAACTCTTTTGACTAGGACAAATATAACATCATGAATGCTGTACGCCCATCACTCGGAAGACGTGTTTCGACATCGGGTGGCCTTTTTGCGTTGCTTTTCCTCCATTACACGGTGCCATCGTTGTCTTTGTGTGCAGATAACAAGTGCCTAGAAGGTAGTTTCAGCTTTGATGTTAGAAAAAACGTGGTTGAAGATCACGCCCTTGTTGGTCACGTGATTGAAAGCGTCACGGTAGCAGATCCATTATGTTGCTTCGAGAAATGTCAAAGTGATTGCCGCTGCATCTCGTTCAACTACTTGACAAATACGAGTCAGGAAAACTGTCAATTGAATAACGAGAACATGAATACAAATTCCAGCGGGTTGAAGCTAATCCAAGGCTCTCGGCACTACGATCTGGTAGTCAATTACAACATGGAGGTAGGTAATTACTGAGATAATTAGTAACTAGTCCTAGATACTCTTTACACTGAATCCCTTTAAGGTGGCTGAACACAGTTTTAGCAGTTTAGAGTACATGTCATTTGCCAAATCATGGCAAGAGAAAGGTTGCACCTCATAAGCTGAAACTTTGGCAAGTGAAAAATATACTGATGAAAGATTTTGACTGACAGGTAAAATATGGCGTTTTCGTAGTTTCCATGGCAACGTGAACGATTGAATATAACCTTAAAATGTCACTTTTGCTCAGATTACACAAAATTTGCTCATTAGATTTTCCTATAAACTTGCACACAGCTTACTATAATTAATCATTACTATTTGAAACTTATTTGACCAAACTTTCGAAGCCAACTTAAGGTGGTGTAGGCAAAGATATAAGAGAGAATGATTAAGAATTGATGTACGGAGTTAAAGCAAACGAACAATAATTTAAAATTACCACCTAACAACTTTCCCTCGCCAGTTTAAAGTTTTCGTTTTACCCTTTTTTTAAACGAGAAGAGAGGTGTTTAAACCTTCATAATAAACGTGTGCAAGGAATGTCTTTTTTTGTTTTTGTCGAATACATAAAAATCGCCCGGCCAAATCTGTCTTTTGATGTAAACGTGATGTTCTACCTCTCCTTCTCAAACTCATTAATAATTCATAAAGAAAATTCAAAGGAAATTAATGTTTAATGAGTGTTTGGATATCAGATGAAAAACTGCTCATTTTTGCATCCTTAATTTCTCCTTCAAAAATGATTTTGTTTGAGACGAAATATCAAACATTCGACACAGTGTTTCATCACCAGATGAAACACCTCGAAGTTGGTCAAAAATAATCCGCTGCGCGTCGTATTTTATGAAACACTGCGTCTCATGTTTGATATACTACATCAAACCCTTGCATGGGTGGTGCCCATCAAGATGCTAGTAAGTATGACCAAATGATGCCAAAATTATGTCAAGGGAATTACGCTGTGACTTCAAATTGCTGCCACCTCCAATCCCTCAGCTTGGACTGTACTCGTTTTAAAACAAAAAGCCAAAATTCCAGAAAAACTACATTAAATATATGGGAAGATGTTGGCAGATATCTCCTTGCAAAAGGCAATATTTATTGTCAGCATGCAGATGAACAAATTTGGCAACTATTCTCACTTTTGCTCTTATTTTGGTTTATTGTAGGCCAATGTCTACCCAAATTATTGTGCAAACGGATGTTGTGCAAGCCATATTTTCCCATGTCTTAATGGTGGCACGTGCCGTGAGACATGTGACGTCACGAAAGAAAGATTTAACTGCTCCTGTCATCCGTGTTTTCAGGGAAAATATTGTGAAATCGGTAGGCATGATTTGTTTTTCCTAGATTTCAGCAATTTATTCTTGAGGGACGATCGATCGCTTCAATTTCTTTAATTTCGATCTGATAATTCTAGTTGATGCTACAGTAGTGCCAAGCAGTAATGGTACCGACTAAAACTTGAAACGGCCATCGATTATGAATCAGATTTTTGTCAATAATTTATGCTGTACTGTTTGAGAAACGAGCAGGAGTGTATTATCAGGTTTAAAAAACTTTCGGCTTCCCTTCGAGTTATTAAACCTGATAATAAACCGACTGCGAGTTTTTTGAACGGCTTCACGATCAAAATCTCTGAAATAGATCAACTAATTCTTGCACTAATATTCAGATTTGGGGTTTAATATTTTGATCTAAAATATTGGAAGTAAAGTTTAATCGTGTCTTTACCCGGAAAATTACAAGGAATGTTTCAAAGGTAACCCCCAATTTAAGCTTAAATGCCAAAAAATCCAAACCCGAGTTTAATTGCTCCAGTTCATATCACTCAACTGCATTCGGCGCGGTACTTGTTGTTGTTCAGAGGCACGTTAACTGTCAAAAATTGACGGGGACCCTATGCCATTTTTATGTACATCTTGACACACAGATTGTAAGTCAGTTATTTTGTCCATTTAAAATAGTTTAATCAGTGATGGAAATTTTTAAAGGCACCATTTAGCTGTGTAAACAAATGATGGTACGCTGATCTTCAGTAATGTTGGTGAATTTTTTAAAGATTCTCCACAAGCAATTCTTTTCATTACCTATCGTTATTGCATATTTCCCTTAATCATTGTTTTCGTAACCACTTGTGTTTTAGCTCGGTGCCCAACAGGATGGCTGTGCTTCAACAATTCATGTTTTAAAGAATTCATGACAGCAGTAACTTGGAATGATGCACAGCAGGTTTGTGAAAGCTTGAATAGCAACCTTACGTCAATACATAGCGCTGCGGAGAGTGACTTTATCCTTGGTCAAGTTCGATCCTCTGATACCAATAAATTTTGGATTGGCTTCACTGACAGAGCAAAGGAAGGATCTTTCGAGTGGGTGGACGGCTCTGATGTGACATATACAAACTGGATTGAAGGCCAACCAGATGATTTTCGATCTAATCAAGACTGTGGTATGGCCCTATTGACCCGGGGTTCCCGCTGGGATGACGCAAATTGCCGTTCCAGCAGCACGAGTGGTTACATTTGTCGTAAAGACATAAACTGATTAACAAATTCTGCCATTAGCCTGCATCGTCGACTTTATCTACCCTCGAATAGTAACTTTGCGAAGCAGCGCTGAGATCCTTGTTTTTAACCCCCAACTGACTCAACGAATTCCCGTAAGTGCTTTTCTAATTTCCCTCCAACCTGATTGGCCAATCGGACAATGGATTGTGCAACAGGCCAATCATGGCGCTTACTCAAATCCTGCGGTACAGACACGATTAAATTTGTTTTCACCTATCCTAGAAGTGCTCAATGCATAAAAGAAGGAAAGGGGAATGACAATTTTTCTGTTTTTGCATTGGTAATCATATATTGGCAGTGGTACAGTTAAAAAAATACTTTACATATCTTGGCAGTTTTGGAGACGATTTGTGCACTCATTCAAAGGCATTTTATGGAATCGGTGAAGATGGCAAATACGTCTCATGTTTTAAGTGGCTTACGTAGGCACATCTGTCGTGTATAGTCCGGGGGGTACTTTAGGAATTTCTGGGTGGGGATGCGCCGCTTGGACCCTGGAACCCTTAACCTATACCAGAGCTAGCTCAGCTGAATTTTGCTACTCTATACTAGAGTAAACCTCCCAAATGCCCCCTATCCTAGAATAGCTGTTTTCCAGAAACTACCGAGGTGTGGCAGTACCCCTCCGCCCCCCGGTGTATAGTTTGCATAATTAAATGCAATGGAACTTAACGTAAGCGAAGAAACACATCTTCATGTAACGACAACAAATATGTCTCCCAAGCATTACATCCAGCGTTAGGGACGGGTCATTATTTATCGCCTGGGGTGAGGGGGGTGAGGATTTCGCGGGGGATCACTTGATTTTTAGGAGAACAAAAGGGGGGATCAGTCGTAACTGAGAACCCAAAAGGGAGGATCACTGAAAACTTTGGAAGGATTCAGGGGGGGAACAATCAAATTTGCTTGGAAAATGAAGACATGGGGGGGGGGGTCGCGAAAGTCATCCGGCTCCCAAATCGAGAAGGCACACCTTCAATTTTGTAAACAACAAAGCTTCTAATATAGCTTGTAGAGCAGAGCTTGGTTGTTTTCCTTTAAATATCACAATCAATCAAAAAATTCTCACATACATTTTGTATATACAGTCTAAAGATGAGGAATCTCTCGTCAAACAAGCTTTTTTAATGTCATTCGACCTACACTGTAATGGCAAATATAGCACTCTCATTTAATGAATATGTCAGAATACTTTAAGCTTCCTGACTTTAACCCTGATTTATTAGATATAGCTATGGTAAAAAGCTATGTAACTTCAATGAAACAGAAATATATCTCATATTGGCAAAACACCCTTCAACATTCTCAGAAACTTGAATTTTATAGATCTTTTAAAACCGATCATACCTCCTCCAGTTACTTAGACGTAACAAGAGGAAAAGCTGGGAGAAGGGCTTTAGTAAAATTACGAATAAGCAATCACAAACTAATGATAGAAATAGTAATTGCCCTGCGTTGTAATTTTGATTCCTAAACATAGCTTTTGAAATACTGTATGTGTTTGTATGGTCATGCAAATAAAGCTCGTCGTTTTTGTTGCTAACCCTCCCCTTGAGCTTGGCCCTAAAATATCATGACCCTCCCCACCTCACAGAATTGAAAGAAAAATGTTCCAGGCTCTTTAAGGTGCAGTATTCCAAGCCAACAAGAAAAAAAGGAAACCAAAACAAAATAAAAGGAAACCAAAAAAAGCTAGGGCAAAAAGAAGGGAAGTTAACTGCAAAAAAGTTATTGAAACCATTGCACCTCAGCAAGAGTCGCATGATGTTACAGAGCCTCTTGGTCCATTATCTCTTCATTATGAAGGAATAAGTGGGCTCACAAAGGCCATATATCCAATACGCCTTTGAGAAGGGATTGTTCACAAATGAGTAACAGGGATTTCTCAAGCAATATCTACGCTTCAACTTAAACGAAAATCATGATGATGATGAAAGTGATTGTATCAATGCTGATGACATAAATGATGATGATCAACATGCTCACAGCAGCATTGATGGTGATGCTGAAGACAGTGATGAAAAGGATAGCCAAAACTCTAATAACATTAATAACAACATTATTCATAATAAAAAGGTAATAAGACTCTGTAGCATTGTAATAAATGAAAAGTAGATGTTTGTTAAATTCTTGCAATAGTACTTCACAGTTAATATCCATAATGTTCCGTTGTTCTTTTATTTTTTATTTCTTTCTTTATTTTTTTACCAAATAAAGACCTTCCTTTTTCTTCTGTGGGTGAACCTGATCACTGGACTATATTTGCATGACCCTCCCGCTTTTAACGGCCCATTTTTCATGACCCCTCCCTTTTCTGAGTCTCAAAAAGTTGTGACCCTCTCTCTGTTTCCACTCCCCCCCTCCCCTCTACTAATTTCTGACAAGTCCCTTAAAACAGCTCATGATACGGCCACCAAAATTACACAGAATGATGCACTCATCATTTCCAACATCTAGATATGACTCGATTTAGTAAATCCAACTAGTGGTCTATTATCAATGCTGCGTTCTGATTGTTGAGCATCTACTACACTATATGTTATAGCCCACTGGTAGCGAAAAGCGCCGGCTTTGAAAAGCAAAACAATGGCGGCTGAATCGCGTTTTGCTAGCTAAAGTTGTTTTGTCTCGATATTTTTGACCAACTAGTTGGATTTTACTAAAACAATTATTCCTCTCCCCCGAATGGGCTCTGTTTCAATAGCCCATTCGGCCTTTGGTCTCATGGGCTATTGACTCAGAGCCCATTTTGGCGAGGGGAACAATTGTAAATAATACAATGACCGAATATGACATCATATTGTTAAATTACTAAAATATCTGCCATCCCGGTGGATCTGCCATTTTGAATGAAATCAATGCATGCCATTTTACTTAAAACCGTACAAATGGAAGTAATCGTGAAAGAAAATTTGATCTGTGTATATTAACTGAATGCTTTAACAATAATTAAGAACCACTGATAAGATGCTATTTTTACTTTTTATTGATCAAGAAGAAGCACTCAGAAAAATTAGGCTAATAGGCTAAAAAGTAGGCTTTATAATTCATAAGCAAAATACAAAGGAAATTAATGTTTAATGAATGTTTGGAAATCAGATTAAATACTGCTTATTTTGCATCCTTAAAATCATTGTTTCATCACCACATGAAACACCACGAAGTTAGTCAAAAATACTCCGCTGCTCGTCTATTTTCACCTCTCTTCTCAGTGTTTTATCTTTTTCTGGTGATGAAACACAAAAAAAATACAGGAAAAAAAAGGAGCAAAGGAAATAACGCGCATTTATTCATAAATACGCATGCACACCCGTCCAGACTGAAACACCGTTTCGATTTGCATTTAATCTATTAGTAATCTCAGACGTACATTTAATATATAATTTTCGGCAAGATGCAGCAAACTCGAATTTGTTGGTGCATTATAATTAACCCTGGATAAATCATGTTACTGCATATGATAATTCCTGTGCTTGGATTGACATTAACCCTCGACATGGACCTGTTTTTGGTTGGAGTTTCAGTATCAAAATCTGTCGACTTGGGGGGTTTTCGAAAAAAATGGCAGACTTCTTAAATGTGCAATCAAATCGATGATTACAATATAGAATGGAAGCTTAATTTAGTATTCCGCTCAACTGAAGCCAGCTAGACACGAAATATAGATCAGATAATTTGAAACAACCTTCTGACTAATTTTATTACGAAAATATGTAAGCAGTAGAGGCAAACCTCTTATCCTATTTTTCACCAAAAAGGTTAATCGCTCGTGAATACTGAACATTTCAGACCGGAGTTTCAGCATGCATTTTCTGCTGTCCAAAGTCTGCTTTTCTGTGCTGATAAGTTGAAAGCGTTAGCTGTGGCGGAACATTTTCCCTTCAGTGTGAAGGTGTCCGCAGAAGCAAACCGAAAATCTCAAAGGTCCGAAAAATGAAATAACTTATTACTTTACTCAACACGCGTACGGTGACAGGCGATGAAACAGAACATGCATCGCCCCATAAAGTAATCTGGATTGCGGAATGTTTGCTTGTGTAATCTAGAATTCAGCTCTAGGTCCTCTAGAAATCCAGAATCTAGTACATGGAATACGGAGTTCACAGCAATTAATATGGTATCCAGGACTGTCGTGTACAAACTTGCATAGGGCGAAATAAACGATTATAATCGTAGAATTTATTTTGGGTCAAAAATTAGGTACAATGAACTGTCAATGATAATTCATATTCTTGGCCGGATTGAATTGATTTTGTTGGTTTGTGTTTCCTTTCAGCATCATGTTTAAAAATTAGTTGAGCTGTAGGAATTCGAAAATTCTGGATTTGGCAACAACTCGATGATCCTGCGAAAGCAAGCTATTCCGGCATATTCCTCCCCGGGCAATGGTGACAAAAAATGACCTTTGAGGACCGAGAAAAATTGTAGACTTCATTTAAGACAGCCTTTCAAAATTATATACTTATAGTAATAAAATCTATTCCCTTTGTAACATTTACTGGAAACAACTTTAGCAGAAGAGGATATAATCCCCCTTAATTGCTCTTAAAGGAATATTTAGTAAGCACTTCCCGTCGACGGTCTAGCTCTACTCCCAACTCCCCAGTTTTAGCTTTGGCAAAATCTGAAATTTCACAATTCAGACGACCGTTGAAGAACGGGCAAGCACTTCCTGCCTTCGGTGAGCTATCAGTTGAGATATTTTCACGGGCTTCATCGCATGCTTGAGCTCTAGCATTTACTGGACTATGGAAGTGCTCCACCAAACTTTACCCTTTCCTGTATCTATTCTATTTTGGCCCTGAAAGCGCAGAAAACAACCAACTTTAGACAGCAAAACTAATAGTAGAAAAA